AATCAAAATTAATTTTCCGCGAATCAAGTTTCAGAATCCCTGCATCACTTAAACGTCGTCCAAGTTTCTGAATCGTTGCAATTAAGATACATATCGACGGTGCAAGTCGGCAATCACATAACTCGTTTGCGGTGTCTGAAAATCTCCGCAACTATGTTATTTTTTTAAAGGAGAACAAATGGACATGATTCCTTGAAGTTTTTGCAGAATTTTCCTCGCACATAGAAGAAAAATCACGGAAGTTTTAAAGAATTACCGTTGAGTAGTTTTCCGTTTAAAAAATAAAGTATGACAGGAAGTCTGCGACGTCGCAAACCGAGTTATGTGATTGCCGACTTTCACCGTCGATATTTACCTTCAATTGTGGTAAAAACCGGCAGGAGCCGTCCAAAGAAAGACGCGTGGTCCTAGATTTGCGGCAATTTTAGCGTTGCGCAAGCCAGGGAAGGGAACGCGGAGCGCGGTCGAGTGTCGAGTCATTTGGCGTAATGCAAGAAGTATTCCAGTAGTCTTGCAGGCGCTTATATAAGTTTGACGCCTACCGCACCGTATTTGGCGCTTCGAACTTGCGTTTAGGATAATCGCGGCATCGAACGACGGGGCTTAAAAGGCCCATGTTCTCTTTCGACGCCGTATGAACATTCCAACGTTGCCTCATTTCTCCCGATAAAATTCTCTCTGAGAAAAGTTAGGAAATTGCTGAATGTTCACTTTTTCATGTTGAACGGACCACTAAACAGGTACGAATTTAAGCACTCTGATATATGATTCTTCACCAAAATTTCACGTAGAATATGATTTGCGCAACGAAAACTACTGAAAGCAACTTCAAGCTAAGATATTACTGTTTCTGACGTTATGTCATACCGCCGCACAAAGGAAGAATGCCGTATGAGCTTTTAGATGTTGCCACATTATCTTAAATCAAAAACAAATTCACTTGGACAATTGTGAATATTTTTCTTCAAATTATTCAGACAATCTTGTTTGCGGGTTAGTCGAAAATTTCTGAAAATTTCAGGTCAAAGTATGATGCATAACTTTTCTCAAAAATACAAGTTTGATCCGGTGAAATTTGACTACCCTCGAATGTTGTTACGGCGTTTCGCCTTAGCACGGCGGTGTAGTTCCGGATCACGCTCGAGATTAGGTCTGCCACCCGCGCCGCGCCGCGAACCCGGCTGAAATGAATAAGTCCTCCCCTCGCAGGCCTGCCATAACACTCTCAAAAAATACATTTTTTATACTTGAAGACTCGAACATATTTGGGTGGAGTTGGCATCTATGCGTCTCGGTGTGTGACGCCAAGAAAGTAGGTGACAAGCAGCTCACGTCGGACTGCAGCTTCGTGGCTGGCTATCACTCGGTCCGCAACAAAAACTCGTCACACTGGTAGAACTTAGCGATGCATCCATCTTCCTCTTCCCTCGCCTTAATTCGAGATTCATAAGAGCCAACGATGCGATGGCAGATCAAACACATCTCATTATTTTTTTGCTCCCGTCCGCGCGGAGACACGAAGCGAGAGAATTAGGATGGCCAATCGCATGGGACAATAATGCCGTGCTATAAGGAAGAACGCCGTATGAACATTCGAGGGTTACCAAATTTCCCTTGATAAAACATGTATTTTTGACGATATTCATGTACATTTTTGAAATTGTCAGATATTTCAGATTAAATTGCGTGCAAAATTGTCTGAAAATTTTGGGGGAAAATATTCACAATTTTCCCAGTAAATTCGGGTTTTATTGAAGGAAACTTGGCAACGTCTGAAGGTTCATACGGCGTTTTTCCTTAACACGGAAGAATGAGATGCGTGCTTTTCATGATTCATTACAATCATAATGATGAATTTTCTGAATTATTTTTCATTTCCATCTGGTAAAATTAACCGCCGTCCGTCAAATAAAATAGTACCGACAGGATTTTAGATTCTTTACAGAGCGTTTCTGGAATAAAAGCTTTTAAATGTTGGAAAGTGATATAAGCGTTACAGAATTTATGAAAAGTAGTTCTACGTGAGAATCCAGGGTCTCTAGCCGGTAAAATTTTTGGGAGTACACTGGTATTGATCACTTTTTTACTGAAGCAAATGTTGTTTCCGGTGCGAAATAAATTTCTTGAACTCTGTAACAAATGATGATGCGGACTAAGTTCCGTTTTTGTATGAAATTAAACGAGCATTCAGAGGATTTGATTTTTCATGCGCCTTTTCAACACGGAAAAAAGTATCACAACCCCAACTTTACAGAGGCACGGTTGAGTCAGCCAAAAGTATGGTTGCGGATCAAGCACATACCTCTCTGGTGTAGCTACTCTTATCACTGACGCCAAAATCAGCCAGAAGTATGGTTGAGATTGCGGCTCCTTTTTTTTGGTGAAATTTTCATCTTATCAATTGTACTTTGAGATGCAAAGATTCGCGAAAAAGAAAACATAAATTTACAACATGTATTTGCAAATAACTGAAATAAACCGCTTCATTTAAAACGATTTTGCGCATATTTTTGTCCAACAACTCCTATGAAAATAACATTTTGAGTTTAAGATTGAAAATACCTAAAAGACTCAGAGAACCGAAGGAGAAAAGTAATTTAATAATCTGGGGTACATTTTACCGTGCTTTTAAGCGCGTACGAGATTCAAGATGTTCTCATCATTAATGCATTTTGATAACGTCTTGAATGTGGGCAAATGTAATTAAAATGGTCGACTGGAAACCCCGGCACATAATTAAATGCCGATTTTGTGCAGTCATAATACTGGAAGAATTTTAAAGCGACGATCCCGAAACACGCTTCATAATGAATGAATGTAATAAAGTAGGATAGTAAGCGCTGTAATTTGAGGGGAAGTTTATGAATTTGTCCTGAATTACGACACCTAAACCGCATTAACGCCGCAATATCTGATCCAAAAACGCATCATCCCCTCCTCCTCATTCGCCTCCTGAAAACTCCCTCACCAAGTTTAAAGGGTTGACCCAAAGTCGCGCAGCCCTCTCTATAACTTTCTTTAGCGAATTTTCGTCCCAACATATTATGCGGTAATTATACTTCACAAATTTCATTCAAGGTCACTAGTTCATCTCACACGACCTACAGTCCATCGTATTGGGCTTTACACATGTTTTTTTTTTTTAAATGCCTTTCATACGTACAATTTTTAATGTTGCGCCCCCCTTTCCATTGCAAACCGGCAAGAGCACAATTTGGATGAGTCGAGCATGTTACATTTTCCTCTTTCCTTAAAGACAACTCATACTGCGGGGGATATCAAAGATCAAGTCAACCGATCTTCACTGTAATCTAGTTTGCTTTCGTTACTTTCATATTCTTCTTAATGGCACGATTATTTCCCTCATAATTTCCTCTCTGCTTTTATCAAATATAACTTCTTTCTAATATAGCTGTGTAGTGGTGCATGACGGGAATTACTTTCCCTCCAAAGGGGACGGAATGACAAAAAAGAGGGTTTTTTTATTTGGTACGCTTTCATGGATTTCTGGGAGCGATGTTTTTGTAATATAAACGAAGACTTTTTTCGAAAAATCCTGTTAGCTTTACGGAAGGATCCGAGGGGCCGTTCCCCGGAAAATTTTCAAAAATTGAGTCGTCTCAGGATACATTTTGAGGAGCTCTCAACGAAACACTAACCCAATTCCAATATCCAAGATGAATGATATGTGTCATGCACTTATGCTGCAAAAGTAGTCATATTCCTTGGGAGGGGCCAAATAGGTTTGTGGGCTCCCCCTCAGTCCCCCCTATTTCCACCAAAAAGCCCTTGTTCTCATAGATTCCGGCTTTTTAGCCCACCTTTCCACCACGGGTGAATCGTCGAGTGCTCGGAGAATGAAAACGCCTTCATTATAGTGCGTATGCAACACGGACTTCCGTAGATCCCGAATAGTTGCATCCAAGCGTTATAATGAAATTCGTTCAGTTTTCGTCGTATGCAAGACTAACTGGACTACTTAAAGCAAAAATAACTGTAAGTCCGTTGTGACATGAGCCCTGTTATGCATGTATTCTTATGGATCTCAGTGGGCCGATTATTGAACTCGATAGAAAAAGCGATGGACAAAGAAGACAAAAGGGATATGGAGCGATCCTATCGGTTGGAAAAGGGTGGTTCCTTAAGATTAAGGGAGAAAATGATGGACTAGCTATAGGGACGCTCGTAGGTTGCCGTTACTTAGGACCGAATGTAAGACCTCTGGTCAGGTGCTTGTCAAAGTGGTGGTTTGAGCTGACCATACCTCGACCAGAGGTAGGTACGACTCCCGGTTTTCTTCAGGTCAAGTCCTGGTCAGCCTTTGTTCTTCCTCGCAAACCAGTAGTCATGCTGATTAGCAGATTGACGGCTAGCCAGAGTCTGGCCACCGGTTTGGTGACCAGAGGTACACAAGAGATCTTACAAACGGCTCTCGGTCGATAACGTATCCCCTATGTCCATTGCAACCACCCATCACTTCTTCCAAAATAGGATCTCTCCAAATCCCTTTTATCTTCTTTGTCTATAGCTCTGTTTATTGCATTGTCTATAAATCTCAATAATCGGCCCGCAGGGCTAATATCACACGGAGAAAAAAACTTCGTGCTTGGGACCCGAAGTTGAGGTCATATGGATCTCTGAAGTTTTCGGATCTCGCATCCGAAAACTTGAGCTCTAGGTCTAGCTGAGGTCTAGCTGCCGAAGTTCGGGTCAGACATCTGAAGTACCTAAGTACATACCAAAGGGTTCGGGTCACACATCTGAGTACTCTGGTATTTACCGAGGTAATTCGGCTGTCTGACCCGAACTTCGGCAGCTAGACCTCAAGTTTTCGGATGCGAGATCCGAGAACTTTAGAGATCCATATGACCTCAACTTCGGGTCCCATGCACTAAGTTCTTTTCTCCGTGCAGAAACTTAAAAGTTTTCTGTGATTTTATACGTGCAACTGATGGTGCTCGGCTTGTCTACGTTGTAGGTAAGGTGATGGATGTTCTTACCTTTCGGCACTTGAAGAGGGCGGCGACGGTGATGAGGTTGCCGGGGACCCCGACGCACATGAACATGATGCAGACGAAGGAGGCGAGATCGAGGAGCTGCGGGGGGTAGCCGCGGAAGAGCTCCACGTCGCCGAGGTCGCAGGAGGCGAGCTGGAGGTCGAGCTGGAGGTCGGCGACGGCGCACGGCGGGAGGGCGCTAGGCGGCGCCACCGTCGTGGAGCCGGAGGAGCCGGCCGGCCCCGGCTTGGCGGGCAGCCGCCCTCCGGAGGTCGGCGCGGGCGCGGGGGCGCTGGGCGCGCGCGGGGAGGCCGATCCGTCCAGGCGCAGCAGTGACGTCATCGGCGCGCCCACCGGCGGCCGCTCACCGCTCTGAAACACACAAACAATCCAATCACTCATACGAATCATCGTTATTCACCGATTGGCACCTTGAGCAAGTATAGGCTCCGGACTGGCCAGCCGGATAATTTACATCCATTCCGATCGTGTGGAAATTCCAGCAGAGCGACAGGGGCGTCATTTTGAGATGGACAGGGAGGGAGTGGCGCCTCCCCCCTCTCCTCTTTACACAGTTGACCTGCTCCGGCATGTATATACGCTGTTGGTGCCACGTCACAGAAAAGCGATATATATGTCGCAGGCAAATAGTAACATCAGGCATTTTGTCAAATGCCTAGGCGAATAGTCAAATATTCGAAATTAGTTTGAAATTTTGATTATTTTCCTAATTTTACACAAAATATTTCATTGCTCATTTGAGAAAAAGTTCACAGTAAAAGTTTGCATCACGCAATAGTATTTTAAACAATTTTTTAGCCTCGGAGCAGCCAATTATCTCCAAATTTTCAACATGTCATAAAATGCAGAATTTTCGGAATTTCAACATTAAAAATATGAGAAGCATTTGAAAAGGAGGAGACAAAAAGAGTTCGTAGGTTTTCATGTAAAAAATTAAAGTAGCCAATTAAATTTGGCAATAGCTGATGTGGCTTGGTTCCTTTCTGTTTAACGCGGTCCAATTAGTCGAGTTAAGAGAGAAACCATACTCGCAATTTGGCATGGAGCGGTGCGGTGCAGAGAGCAATAATGACGAGGACTTGATATGAAAAGCAGAAGCCCTCAACGCGGCGGCCGGCGTGTAACACATAACAGCACCTACCAGACTGCATGAATACTTCACGCATTGCGTCAAAAACAGTGCGGTCAGCAGCGGCCGACGTGAAACGCAAAGCGCCTACAAGACTGCATGAATACTTCACGCATTACGCCAAAAACAGTGCGGTCAGCGCGAAACACATGGCGCCTACTAGACTTCATGAATACTTCACGCATCGCGTCAAACTAAGTACGGTCAGCGCGGCGCGGCGGCGGAAGTTGAAATGATTAAACCACATTCATGTTTGTTCTTGCATAATTTTTACGTTCATTTATTACAAATGGAAGGCTTTGTTCACATAGAGATAGGTTTAAGGAACTTAACTGTCACGCAAAGTTCCGTGAACTTTTGCTAGGAGTGTTGACAAGACTTAAGCAAAAAAATGCGTCCAACACGAGTAAACGGTATGCACCCCTCTCCCTCCGGCACGTTCACTTGATTGTTTCTATTGATGTTTAAAAAGGAAGGACGGGGATGGAAAAATACAGGCGGCCCATGTGCGGCAAGTAGGTAAATCCGGCCCTGCTGAGCCAGATTTGGACCACAACTCTCATAATGTCCAAATTAAATTACACTTTATGGCAAAGGTGGGACCTCAGGAAGGAGGACTTGGCAGGAAGAGGCAGTAAAAAATTTTTATTTGATCCGTTTTATTTTTCATGTCTTTTCACCCACGCCAACATGCCACCGTACTGTTAGTTTTAACCCCCTTTTTTAAATTGTAAAGCTTTTAATTCTGACGATGATTACGTCACCGAGAAGGCCATAGTTATGAGGCAAAGTTTCATACGTTTCCGAACATTCCGGAGTGAGCTGGCAAAAATTCGAGGCTCTTCTTGGAGATGGAAAATCATATTTCCTTATCGGCACCAAATAATAGATCTCGGACGGCAGACAAATCAAGACCATCCTCGGAAATTACACTGTCGCACAGCCCACTCGCAATCCTTCAATATCGCGAGATCGATTACACATACGCAAACCTACCGGATCAAAATCGTCTGTTACAGCCTCGAGTCACATTGAGGGCTCGCATTTTACGGAGACTTTTTATGACGCTAAATCAAAGCGGCTGTATCGTCTTTGGGCGGCTTTCCTGGTCCGCCTCCCCGCCTCCCCGCCTCACTCCCCGCCTCCCCCCCGCCTCCCCTCCGCCTCCCCCCCGCCCCACCGCGACCGCCTCCGCGGCCCGGCCCGGCCGCTTCACTTCATATTTTCCTCCCGAACTTAAATTATCATCCCCGTTTCGTTATGAAGGAATTTGGCCGGCTCCGCGTCGCGGCACCCGAAACCGGGCACCGGGGGGGAGGGGGGAGGGGGAGGGGGGCATCAATAGTGGCGGCCCTTCTCGCGCAATTTCGTCCCTTCAAAGCGATAACTCCGTCGATGTGTTAGCCGGTCCCGGCGCATTTATGAAATGCGAAGGCAAAGTGGGGCGGACGGGGGGGAGGAAGATGGGACGCTTACCCCGCAAATTAAACTATAAGCCCCGAAATTCAGCTACCCACATTGGTGCTGCCAGATCTCGAGGCGAGATGGGGATTTGACGAACAGGGAAAGAAGAGCAATGAGGGATTGAAAATTTCGTTCGTGGGGGATGCCGGAGCGAAGTTTATCGTTCGCTGAAAAAGTAAAGTCGCTTGGATCGAGAGTCTAGACTCTTAAAACAGTGACAAGAAAAAATACCCTTGATGATCGGAATTTTGCTTGAATTAAAAGGAAATCCGCTTGAATTATGACGCTTGGTTTTCGATTTGAGCAAAAATCCGATTGAATCAAGAGTATTTTTTCTTGTCAATGTTTTTGAGAGTCTGGACTCTAGATCCAAGCGAATTTTTTCCCAGTGTTTGAAAAATTCAGCTTAGATAAGAGTTATCAACTGTGATCCCATCATTGGTCGATATCCACGGACGATAAAACCGTTCGGTTGATCCTCAAATTAAGGACTAGTCGAGAGTTAATTAGAAATTCACTATGAACATTTCTTAACTTCCTTGTGAAGACGGAAATACATATATCGTCGTTTTCCTCACGAAAGAACGTAACTGCATTTCAATGTTGCCAAATTTTCCTTCGTAAATTGCATTTTAACCAGAAAAATCTTGGGCATTTCTAACTAAAAATTTCATTGATTTTTCTTCGAATTTCATGCAAAAATCAGACGGATTTGGATAAAAATTGCACACTTACATTTTTGTAAAATAAATAAATTATTGGAGTCAATTTGGCAACCTTGGATTGGAGTTACGTTCCTACGTGCGGGAGACGACGATATATGGGAGCCAGAGAAAGAGAAGCCACCCTTAAAATAAAAAACCACGTGTTCTACTAACTTTTCTGATTCATTTCCTGAGAATTTTAATCGGAGTGTGCTATAGTGCCCTGTTACTTTTTAAAACTACTTGTAGTTTTCCTCTAGTATCCCCGTCAAGCAATCTGAGTGGCTTAGAAGCAGTAATAGTTGCTTGCAGCTATCAACGTTCCACGTTGATATTCAATATCGTATAGCCGTTGCGTGTCACTTAAATTAGTCAATTCACTTGTCGTGACAACCGCTTCTGCAGCACGCTTCTTCAAACTTCAAAAAAGAGGGGAAATTAATGACTAAAATGCACTTCAATGTAGAATTCAGATTCGGAGGAAACTCTACGATTCTTTGAGTGGTTTTTTACTGCATCTCAATGAAACCCTATGAAATACAGTTTTTTACTCCAGTTTGATACATTTGCTTAGAACATTTTGAAAACTGTAGCTGCAACAATCCAAAGATAGCAAATATTTTGAACTATTGCACCATATTTCCTCTCTTGCAACTTGAACGCAAGCGTAGACAGATAATGCTACAACGATTAATTAATTTAGATAATAAACCTCATTGGCATATGCATCATGTTTCATGCGAATATCTTCAAATGAGACTTCTAGAGGAATCATGGATCGTTTGCACACTCAGGTGTATTTTAGGTTCTAAAGATTTTGGATGAATAAGGTCATTTTCCAGACCTCTTATTTGGACTTAATTCATGGCATATCAAGTAGCAAACGTATATCACAACCGAGGCTACAAGAATAATTCCTTGAAGGTACTATATTTATAAATTTAACTAATTGAAAATTAGCAAAATCTGCTGTTCCCCTTCTGGTTTACAATCGCAATATATAGTCCACAAGCTCCACAAAAACTTGATATAAATCGACATGATTCGAATTTTCCTAGACATCTGTGGAAACTGCGTATAAAAAGGAGCATTAGTTCTCCCGCGATAACTTATCAAATTTTTTTCCCCGGAGAGGAGCACTGAATCTAAAGGGGCTAAGGTTTGTAAGGAGTCTCGACTCGCCGACATATTTTTCTCTTGGGGCTAGAGGAAAAGAAGGGCGGCCCACGCACATCTAGTGTACGGCATCATATAGGTTTTCATTTCCACCAGACTGTGCCATGTACTTCCTCAGTCTGCAGAATCGAGAGGGGTAATTTCATCATCTTTACGCTCTATGTGAACGGGAAATGGCGGTCATTTGACAACCGCGGAAACCAGGACTGTTGACTTTTAAGCTAAAGTATCGAGTCCGCAAGGAAGAGGCATGGTAAAAATGAGCAATGCTCTGCAGTTTGACATCAGTGTCGTCGCTATTTATTTAGCCCCTCTCTCCGGAGTCAAAAGTTCGACACAAGGGAAATGACGGTGATCTGTCGGATAGACTAGAGTTAAAGGCAAGATTGCCACGTCATAGAGAGATCAGTGCAATCTCTGAGAGTTGGGTTGCGGCTTATAAGTATTTGTCCTTACAAATCTAGTTGCTGAAGGGGTTAGTATTTCCGTGGTACATATTTTCAAATACTGCGGGCACTTTTTCCGTGGCCGGTGGCAACCAGGCTTTCGTTACGTGAGGAAAATACAACCTAAAAAAACAAGCAGTCCTGCAAACTGCTGATATCAGCCTACCTTCTTGGTAAATGATTTCACTTAATAAATGCAATTCAAATGATTTCTGAATAAATGCTTTAAAAACACATGTAAATTAATTTAAAATCACACGAGTGAAAGACTTGTAAAAGCTTAAAAAATACTATCGTTATTTTTTCTTACTTTTATGATGTTTCATCACATTGTGCTCTGTCAGCAGACCTGATCGCCGGTAACTATAAGAGAAGAGTTTGCATTAAAGCAAAAAATTTAACATTTTGTGATACGTAAACCAGACT